CCCCTTTCACGATGACCTGTGAGGACCCGGTTGCCCGCCCACCCACCCTCTATGCCTGGTACCACAATGGCCGTTGGCTGCAGGAGGGTCCTGCTGCCTCATTCTCCTTCCCGGGGGTCATGCGCACCCACGCGGGTGCCTACTCCTGCCAGGTCCAGGATGCTCAGGGCACACGCAGTGCCCGGCCTGCTGCCCTGCAAATCCTCTGTAAGTTGGGAGCTTTGGCTGGGCTGCCTGGGATGAGGGCGGTAGGGGTGTTTCTGGCCCTGGTTGGGGCAGGCACAGGACAGCAGGGGGTCCAGGAGCGGGCACTTGGGGAAAGGAGGCAGGCCTGGGTGCTGAGGAAAGAGACCCACAGTCCTGTGAACCCTGCCAAGGGGACTGCCCACGGGGCTCCTAAGGAAGCGACCATCGACCTAGAACTTCTGCCTCAGCAAGACAGGGCAGGTGGCGGGCAATGGGCAGTCCAAGTGCCCAGGCAAGGCCCCACTCTATGCCCTACCTGCCCCCAGATGCCCCCCGAGATGCTGTCCTGTCCTCCTTCTGGGACTCGAGAACCAGCCCCATGGCCACGGTACAGTGCACTGTGGACAGCGAACCTCCTGCCGAGCTGGCCCTGTCCCGAGCGGGGAAGGTGCTGGCCACCAGCCATGGAGTCCACAACTCAGCAGTGGGGACGGGCCGTGTCCAGGTGGCACGCAATGCCCTGCGGCTGCAGGTGCAGGATGTGCCCTGAGGTGACGACGACATCTATGTCTGCACAGCCCGCAACCTGCTGGGCTCTGTCAGCACCACCGGGAGGCTGCAGACGGAAGGCGAGTGAGAAGGGTGGAGGGGAAGGGAGCCAGGTTGGGGGTTCAGGTGCCGTGGGGCTTCCACTAGAGGGGCTATCTAGCCTGAAGTCCAAGACAGCCCTACTCTGATGGACAAGGCACGGATCCCACGGGAAGGCTTGCCCAACCTGGGGCAGTGGTGATGGGGGGAAGGCTTGGCCGTGGCGATCTTCCTGCATGAGGGGAACCGCTGCAAGGCCAAGGGTGGGGCAAGCAGTGAGACAGCAGCCCGCCCTTACAGAGCCCAGGCTGGGGGAGAGGGCACAGGCCGGCCCTGGGGACACCAGGGGTGGAGAGAGAGAGACATGGCCCTATCTCAGTGAGCCCAGCCTGAGGGAGGAGAGGCAGTGCCCCCAGGTGAGTCCAGTCTGAGGCCAAGATGCAGCCTCATTTATCAGAAAGCCTGCTGGGAACCCCAGGGCGAGGACGAGACCGCCCAATTCTCAGGGATGAGTCGGGGAGAGACACAACCAGGCCCGAAGGGCCCAGATCCCAAGTCAAACTGAGACCTTTCCACCAAGCATGGGAGCCTCTCAGATGCCAGATCCTACCCAGAGGCTACAGATCCCCAAACACTCGCTGTCTCACTGCAGGCCTGCGTGTGTTCGTGGAGCCAGGCCTGGACGTGCCTGAGGGTGCGGCGCTGAACCTGAGCTGCCGCTTCCCTGGGGGCCCTGGGCAGGTTGTCAACTCCACCTACGCGTGGTTCTGGAATGGCCGGAGACTACGTGCGGGGCCTGTGCCCACCCTCGCCTTCACCCACATGGCCCGGGCCCAAGCTGGCGTGTACCACTGCCGGGCCGAGCTCCCTGCCGGAGCCGCCACTTCTGCTCCAGTCATGCTCCGTGTGCTCTGTGAGTGTGAACTCTCCCCCTGCCTCAGTCTCCTCACGTCTCCCAGGCCCACTTAAGACTTCTTCCTCTTCTGTCTGCAAAGAGCAAGGGCTTCACAGGTATGGAGTTCTGGACTGGAACCCTGGCTCTCTCTCAGGCTGGTTGTTTGTTCTTGGGCATCCACACCTTGGTTTCCTCCTCTGTAAAATGGGGAACACCTCAGCCCTCTCACTTTAACGAGCATATAGGAAGTAAAGCATGCTGAGTGCCTGGCACACCATAGGCCGTCATCAGCCTTGGTCTCCTACTCTAGTCTTTACCAAGACCCACGCTGTATTGGTCAGCTAGTACTGCGTAATAAGCCGCCCCTAAACAGTGCTTCGAATCACAGCCATGTTGTTTACTCAGAATTCTGTGGGCCAGAAATCTGGGCTGGTCTCAGCTGGGCAGTTCTTCTCCTGCTGTCACTTTGTGTGCCTGCAGTTGGCCAGTGGCTCAGCTGAGGCTGGGTGGTTGTTCTAGTACATTCTATTACATCTAGTAAAATTACTAATAACTGAAAAACACTGAGTCTCGGTAGTTTAAGAGAACAGAGGTTAATTCAGCTCAGATTTTGAAAGTCCAAGGGCCAGGGGCCTCCTCCGCATCACAACATGGTAGAGGACAGGAGGGGGTCGATCAGATCAGAGCATGGTCTATCCATGAGGGTCGCATCTGCTTTATTTCCTGTCCTTATGAGCCCACCAAGACTCCATCCTGGGGGCTGCGTCTTAACCACCCAATCGCTCATCTCCTCCCAGAGGCCCCGCCCTTCAACACAAATATTGGATCAAGTGTTCACTTTCTTAATCCCGTTATGATCAAATTTCAACACATGAATTTGGGGTCGCCTGCACCATTGCAGTAGTCCAAGATGACCTCACGTTGGCCTGGGTGAGACACACGTAGTTGTGTTCTAAGAAGCAGGGCAGAAGCTGCAAGGCCTCTCGAGGTCTAGCTTGGAAGTCACGCAGTGTCATTTCCTCTGCTTTCCTTTTTTTTTTTGATGGTTTTTCTCATTAAGATTTTAATGTAGGCTCTGCTTTCCTTTTTAAAAAAAAATGTTAGAGGGCATGTGTGCTCACTGGAGAGAAAGAGAGAAAGTGAGAAAGTACCCTCACCCTCACAGGGGAGGGTGGCACCCCAACCCCTCCTGCTCCTTTTCTCTCTCCTTTCAGGATTTTGGGTACACGTGCCCTTGCACCTGGACTGTTTCTCAAGCTACTGGGTAGGGACTCAAAGTATGCAGTTGACCATGTGGGATCCAGCTGCCTTAACCCCCAGGCCACAGATCTGGCCTGTTTTCTCTGCTTTCTGTTTGTCATCGAGGCAAACGGAAATTAGGTTCCATTTCTTTTTTTTTTTAATTTTTAAATGTTATTTTATCTATTATCATCATTATTATTATTAAGTTTGCTATAGGGTATGTGTGCTCCCCAGAGAGAGACAGAGAGAGGGCAAGTGAGAAAGGAAGCCACAGGCCTGGGACTTGAACCATGGTCGGCCATGTGAGAGTCGAGCATCTTAATCATCACACCACCTGCTGGTCCCTCAGCTCCACTTCTTAATGAGAAGAGCAGCAATGTCACCAACCTGGGGCAGAGAAGGAGGAATTGTGGTCATTTTCTGTAGTCACCACTCTCCTTTTCTCCCCACAGACCCTCCCAAGACGCCCACCATGACAGTCTTTGTGGAGCCCGAGGGCGGCCTCCAGGGCATCCTGGACTGCCGAGTGGACAGTGAGCCTGTGGCCAGCCTGAGCCTCCACCTTGGCAGTCGGCTGGTGGCCTCCAGTCAGCCCGGGGGGGCTCCTGCCGAGGCACACATCCACGTGGTGGGCTCTCCCCATG